CGGGTCGGATCGGAAGAAGGCGCAGAGGCGGGCGTAGCGGGGCTGGGGGTGGAGGACGCTTCCCGGCAGGAGCTGTTAGAATTTGGGCAGCGGGGACCTTTCGTGAGCTAAATGGTTACATGTTCAGTACTTTCTGGAGAGAGCGCTCCAAGAGCTGATGTTTTCATACAGATCATGGAGAGCTTTATGATTTGGTTAATGTTTAACGAAGAATTTTTGCCACCTTTGAGTTTAGTTGTACAGATTTATGCTTCGCGTCAAATTTTCTTGGTGTTTCACTTTCTTCATTGGGTTAGAAAGTCAAAATTGTAGAATAGAATTTTAGGGTGTTAAACACACAAATTCTGTTTATGACATTAACTCCCCAGTGGTTGGAATAGAAAGAATCGGGGAGAACTGCGCAGTAAAATATTTTGGTAATGTCTTAGACTCTTTTACAAATCTGAATAATCTCCAGTACTGCCAAAATTTTGTCTTAAAAAAGTTTGTATTAGTACAAATTAGTAGTACACAGTGATTACACTTGTCAGAGAGCGTTGGCACATGTACCTAACACAACTTAATTCTTTTTAAAACCTCTTTCTTATCTCCTTCCATCTCTAGGTTCCCTTCCCATTTAAAATCTTTAAGAGAACTAATTCTTTTTTTGTACCGGGGGAATCGAACTCAGGACCTTGCGCTTGCAAGGCAGGCCGTGGAACCATCGGGCTAAATCCCCCGCCCAAGAGAACTGTTGAAAAAAAATTGAAGCATTCCTTTATTTTCTTTCTCCTCTGCTTAAAATTTTGTAACGCTTTATTATGGAGAAAATGAGTGACCTGAGCTAAGTCATTTTCTTTTTTTAATTGTGCAATAACTTACGTTACCAAAATTATTTAATTAGTAAAAAATTTTCTCAATGTCAGAAGTTGTCAATTTTTAGGGCAGAAGAATAAATGTGCTCTGCTCTTTTACTCTAGTTTTTAAAAATGTATTCTATGTAGGCAGTTATTGTACAAAATAGCACATGTTACAGAAATAGATAATGAAAGCAGTGGTTCCTTGCCTGGCCTCCCAGCACCCCTGGTTTAATCGTCTGTTCATGCTTTTCTCTTTATTTCTCAAAATGGTGTTATGTCCCTATCACCATTTGTTGATTGGAATAAGTATACTTCAGTTAGAAGGCGTTATACGGAATTGAACAGTTGTAGTTAGAAAAGGAGTGAGGCATGAAGTTTGCCCAGCAGTGTCACTGTGAGGATTAAGGTAGTAGGTGTCAGCAGTAGTAACCCTAACCCTAAGGGCTGTTAACTGTGTCTGATTTGAAAGGTAACCACTGTGGGGATTGAACTCAGTACCTTGTGCTTGAGAGGTAGGTGCCATGCCACTGAGCTAAATCCCCACCCCGAGGCTTTTTTGGGGGGGTATCAGGGATTGAACTTGGGACCTTGCACTTGTGAGGCAGGCAGTGGCACCACTGAGGTAAATCCCCGGCCCCCAGTGCTTTTTTTGATTGAATGAAATTTTCATTCCTCAGGACTTTCTGCTTCGATGTTCACCAGGCAACCTTTTGACTCACTAATTCAGCTTACCACAATCTTATTCCAGAGGGTATGTTTGGTATAGTGTACATGATTATACTAGATAGTATATTTCTTAGTTATGTGAATAAATTGGTAAAATGATTTATGTGTTGGTATTACATAAATCTTTTTGTTGTTGTTGTTGTTTCTGGTACCAGGGATCAAACTCAGGACCTTACGCTTGCCAGGCAGGAGAGGTGCCACTGAGCTACATCCCTGGCCTGTGTATCTGTTTTGTGTGTGTACCTACCTAGGAATGAGTTTTATGCTTTATAAAACAGAGATCCAGATTCTGAAGCGTCATGTTTTATGAAAAGTCTCCTACCTTAAGGACCTCTCTGTGACACCTGTTTCCTTTGTAAAATACCTGCGCTTTTGTGGCAGGATGCAGTGGCTATATACCTATAGTCTGCAGCCAGCCTGGACGACACAGGGAGACCCTGTGTCTTAAAAAAAAGTTTAAATACCTCTCTCTCTCTCTCTCTCTCTCTCTCTCTCTCTCTCTCTCTATTTCAAGAGAAATAGCATGCATTAAACCCTGTCAAAATCACATAGCATTCCGCTGCCTGCCTCGTAAGCGCAAGGACCCAAGTTTGGTCCCTGGTACCAAAAAAAAAAATCACATAGCATGTATGTGGCATTCTTTGAGGACTTTCAGAATGGAACAGCAGGAGAATCTGAAGCTCAGTCACTGAATTCTGAGTTTCTTTTCTAGCTCCAGAAGTCTGTTCCAGATCCCATTCAGCAACTCCCACACCCCTGTTAACATGCAGGAAATCAGTGGGAAGATTTAAAATTACTTCCTGTCTAAAAGTGAATAAATATATTTAACCAGAAAAGAGAGAATCTAGAACCTGCAATTTTCTAAGGAAAATTTACTGCCTGAACTCAAGAGTTTTAATCTAGTTCATTTTCATCACTTTTGGGCTATTTGGCTAAGAGCAAGTATAAATCTAGTTCATTTTCTTATGTATTGCTTTGATGATTAATAAATACAATTTCAGCTCAAGTGTATCATGAATAACTACACAGAAACCCATAGTTTAAATTTTACTTTGTATCTTTCACTGGTAAGATAACCAGAAATCTTTGTGACCAATAAGTATTTATGTTTTGTTTAGTGGAGATTTAAAGAAGAGTCATGTCAGAAGAAACCGTAAGTGAACCACAGTTTTCCTTGAAGACTGCAGCGCTCAAAGTGTTTGATCTTCCTCTGTCCTGGTACTATTCTCTCTCTCAGGTAAGTAAAAGTGAAGTTGGACAATAAGTTTTTCCTTTTTTTTTTTTGGCACCCGGATTGAACTCAGGAGTTTGTGCTTGCTAGGCAGGCAGTGGAACCACTGAGCCACTGAACCACTAAATCCCCAACCTGTTGGGTACTAAGTTGATTGAGCAAGTTTAGTTCACAGAATTTCAGTTTCAGTTGAGGGATCGCTCAGTCAGTTGATTGGGAATTTGACACAGGACCTCACACATGCTAAGCAGATGCCCTACCCCTAAACTGTGCCTCCCAGGCCCAGAAGTTTCTTTTTTCTTTTTCTTTTGTTTTTGGTACTGGGGATTGAACTCAGGACCTTGTGCTTGCCAGGTGGGCACTATGCCACCGAACTACATCCCCAGCACTTGGAGTTTTCTATATGGTACAATCAGAATGTTTACTAAAATAGTTGGTTTTTATTATTTCCCGAGTTTAAACTAAAAAAGTTATATTTACAATTTTTAAAGGCATTGTATTAAAATTTGTTTTCCTATGTTAAGTGAACTTACATGATCCATTACAGTTTTCAGTGAATTGCATTATTCTGAAAGACTTGTTCTCACTGTGATAGTCCTTCTAATTGTGATAAAACAGTATATAACATCAAGTTGACCATTTTGACAATTTCCTAGTTCATTAGCGTTCAGAAAATGCATGTTGTTGTACAACCAACCTCCAGAACTTTTTTCCTCTTGCAAAACTCAAACTTTAGTCATTTGTCAGCAGTCTTCAGACCTCTTCTCCCCAGCCTGAGGCATCTCCATTCCTTCGCTCTCTATGAACCTGACCAGGAGTCTTACCACTGGGACCATACAGGGTTATCTGTCTGTGACGCACGTAATGTGCTTAGCATAACATTCTCAAGGCTGGTCCACATTGTACCGTATGCCAGGATTTCTTTGCTTTCAGGGTAGAATCAGTATTCCATTGTCTGATAGACCACATTTTCCTTGTGTGTTTATCCATTGATGGACCCTTGCGTTGCTTCCATGTTTTAGCTATTATGAAAATGCTGCTCTGAACATGGATGTTTACATTTTAAGACTCTGCTTTCGGTTCTTGTGACTGTATACTAGAATGTAATTGCTGTTTTCTACTTCTCAAGAAACTGCCTTGGTATTTTCCACAGCAGCTATATGACTCTGGATTTCTACAACAGTGCACAATTTTTCCACATCTTACCAATGCTTGGGGTTTTCTGTTATTAATAGTAGCCATCCTGATGGGCTGAAGTAAGACCTCATTGTGGTTTTCATTTACATTTCTGTAATGTTTAGGGAGATTGAGCATATTTTTGTGTTCTGATTGGCTATTTGCTTATCTTCTTTGGAGTTAGTTTTTAACCCATTTTTAATTGGGTTTTGTTGTTGAAATTTAGGCATTCCTATGTATCATAAATATTGATCTCTGTCAGATACATGATTTCTGCCAAGCCTGGAATCCCACCACTTGGGAGGCTGAGGCGGGAGGATTGCCAAGAATTTGGGCCAGCTTTGGCTACAGAGTGTGTTCAAGGTCAGCCTGAACTACATGCTCACTTTGGCAGCACATATACTGAACTACATCGCATGACCTTGCCTTTGAAAAAAAATACACGATTTCCAAATATTTCTTCCCGTTTTGTGGATTGCCTCTTTGTGGGTTGTTCATAGTATCATTTGATGTACAAAATTTTTTAAATTTCAAGTCTGATTTGTCTACTCTTTTGTTGTCTGTGACTTTGGTGTCATATCTAAGAAATCATTGCTGAATCCAATATTGTAAACTTTGTAGTCTTTTATTCAGGTCCTTACTTTGAGTCAATTTTTTCCACCTTTATTGATTTGCATGTGTTTTCCCAGCATCATCTTTTTTTTTTTTTTTTTTTTTTTTTTTTCCATTTTGGTACCAGGGATGATTGAACTCGGGTCCTTTCGCTTGTGAGGGAGGCAGTGAAACCACTGAGCTAAATTCCCCTCCAGCTCCCTAGCATCATTGTTGAAGGCTTCTTTTCCTAATAAATGGTTTTGCACCCTTGTCAAAACCCTTTGACTCAGGGCCAGGGATTTAGCTCAGTGGTTCCACCTCCTGCCTCCCAAGCGCAAGGTCCTGGGTTCAGTCACTGGTGCCAAAACCACAACAACAACAAAAACTTTTGACTGTACGTAAAGGTTTGTTTCTGGGCTCCCTGTCATATTATGTTGGTGTCTGTCAGCAGGGCTAGTTTGATTGTCATGAAACTAGGTTGAATTTTGTCAAAAGTTTTATTTTTCCTATTTCTCTTCTTTTTATTTCATGAGTGTGGTGCTAGGAACTGAATTCAGGGCCTTCATATTGAGTTACCTAGGCTAGATTTGAACTTGTGTTTGTCCTGTCTCAGCCTCTCAGAATATAGGTGTGTACCACCATGCTTGGCTGTCAAATGCTTTTTTTTTTTTAATCAGTGGAAATTATCATATGGTTTTATTTTCTTCATTCTGTTAATGCAGTGTTTTACATTGATTGGTTTTATGTTGAATCATCCTTACATTCCAGGATTAAATTTCACTTAGTCATAGTCTGTAATCCTTTTAATGTGCTGAGGAGGGGATGGGGATTTAGCTCAGTGGTTCTGCTGCCTGCCTCGCAAGGACAAGGTCCTGAGTTTGATCCCCGGTACCAAAATTAAAAAAAAAAAAACCACACTAATATGCTGAGGAATGTTGGTTTGCTAGTATTTTGCATCAGCATTCGTAAGGAATGTTTGCCTATAGTTTTCTTAAATCTTTTTTTTTTTTAATAGTATTTAGGATTGAACCCAGGGTCGCCTATCACTGACCTATATCCCCAGCTTTTCCTTAGTTGGGTTTATTTTGAGATAGTCTTAAGTACCTAGGTTGGCCTTGAACTTGAGAGCCTCCTTCCTCAACCTTCTGAGGAGCTGGCCTACAGGTGTGCACCACTGTGCTGGCTTTTGTCATAAGTACTGCAGCATGGGCATCAGGAAATTGTTGGCTTTGTAGAATGAGTTAGGATGTGTTCAAGTTTGAGAGAAAATAGTTCTTGTTCTTTTTCTTGCTTTGTTTTTTAGGAGACAGGGTCTCGGCGTGCATTCTAGGCTGACTTTGAACTCACAATCCTCCTGCCTCAGCCTCTGAGTGCTGGGATTACAGGCGTGCACCACCATGCCTGTCTTTTCTTTCATTTTACAACTATTTTATTAATTCTCTAAATGTTTAACACAGTTCAGGCTTAGGCCTTTTCTTTGTTGGGAGACTATTGATTACTGATTCAATCTCCTTACAAGTTATAGGTCTGCTTAGGTTTTCTTTTTGTGTTGATTGTTTTATTAGTACATGTTTACAGTACGTGGCAGTTTTCAGTCATTTTGGGGAGTGGGTACATGCACACACTACAGCTTCTTTTTTTGCAAACTTCCCCTTCCCTCCTTCTGCTCAGATTTTCTGTTCATGATGTGGTCTTGTTAGGTTTTGTGTTTCTAGGAATTTATCCATTTACTCTAAGACTTAGAGTGGCAAAGCTATGACACACGTGCTGCCTTGGGCTATTTATATTATTCAAAGATTCACCACTGCTGCTCCAAGTTATCTAATTTATTGGCATAATTTATTGTTCATGGTACTGGTCTGTAGTCCTTTTTTCCCTGTAGAATCAGAAGTAATGTCCTTATCTTCATTTTAGATTTAAAGAATTTTAAGGTTTTTTATTTTTATTTTGGGGGGGTTATAAAAGCCCTTTTATAAAGCCATTTTTAAACAAAACAGAAAAAAGTTTACAAAAGAAAAAAAAAAAGATACAGAAAAAGAATAACTTGCTTCGTATGTCCCCAAAGAGAAAAATAAAGGGGACAACCTTTTTTAGTTTATCTAGATGTTTGTCAGTTCTGTTGATCTTTTCAAAGAACCAACTTTTGGGGGTTTTGTTTGTTTGTTTGTTTTTTTGTTTGTCTTTTGTTTTTCAAGACAGGGCTCATTGTGTAGTTCAGGCTGTCCTCCAGTTTACAGTGATCCTCCTGCCTCAGCCTCTTAAGTGCTGGGATTATAGGCTTGGGCCGGCATACCCAGTTGATAAGCCTATTCGTATCACTCCTTCTTCCCCTACTCTTCCCAGCTTCTGATAACTACCATTCTACTCTCAACTTTTGTGGGATCATCTTTTTTTTTAGAGTGTACATAGTTTTAGATTTCACATGCGATCATGCAGTATTTGTCTTTTCAGTGCCTGTCATATTTCACTTAAGATAATGATCGCCAGTTTCACCCATGTTATCAGAAATGGCAGGATTTCATTCTTTTTATGACTGAATAATCTTCTGTTGTGTGTATATGTACTCCATTCATTCATTTATTTATTGGTACCAGGGATCGAACTCCAGACCTTGTGCTTGGGAGGCAGGCAGCGGAACCACTGAGTTAAATCCCCGGCTACATTTTATTCATTCATTGTTGATAGACCCATTCTTTGGTGTTGTAAATAGTGCTACAATAAAAAAAGGGAGTTTATTGCAGGTGTTTCTTTGTACTGATTCTATTTCCTTTGGATGTATACCCAGGAGTGAGACTGCTAGATCATGTGCTAATTCTGTTTCTGATATTTTCAAAAACTTCTGTACTGGTTTCCATAATGGCGCTATTAATTTATAGTCCCCTCAACAGTGTACAAGGGTTCCCTCTCCTTGGCTTCCTCACTGGCTTTTGTTATCTTTTGTCTTTTTGGTAATTCTTACTGGGATGAGGTAATATCACTGTGGTGTTGTTTTTTGCTGTTTGTGTTGCCGGGGATTGAACCCAGGGCCTCCTTGCACATGCCAGGCTAGCAAGCCACCACTGAGCTACACCAGCCCCTCTTTATGGTTTTGATTTGCATTTCTCTGACGATTCATGATATTGAGCATTTTTTCCTATACTCATCATCCATTTGTGTGTCTTCTGTTGAGAATATTCATATTGATTGTCTTTTTGTTTTTTGGATGGTTTGAGAGTTGAATCCAGGGTCTTTGCTAA